TGAGCAGCCCAAAGAACTCCTTTCCAAAAAGGAGAGGTACCCACATTTGGACAGCACAAGATATTAGGTTTATCATTCTTATACTTGAAGTCAACAATCTGTTTCCAAATAGAATTTGAGTTCAACGGATATCTCAAAATCCATGAACTTAGCAAAGCTAGATTGAGACTTCTCAAAATAGGAACACCTAAACCACCTACTTTTTTTTTTCTGCGCCACAGTTTGCCAATTAGGCCAAATGATACTTGTGGTGATCTTCATTGTTATCCCACAGAAAGTGTCCCATATGGGTGTCAATCATTTTAATGGCCCACTTTGGAGACTTAATAATAGAGAGGAGATAAATGGGGATGCTTGCTAAGCAAGGTTTGAGAAGGGTGAGTCTACCAGCATAGGATAAAAGCCTACCTCTCCACCCAGGTATCCGGAGAGGAACTCCCAAATACTTGATGGGAAACTCACTTTTTTTGCAACAGAAGATTTTTGCAAAACAATTAGCTCTGTCTTCATCTAGCCCAATTGTGATTAAATCACTCTTATCATAATTGATTTTCATCCCAGACATTTTTTCAAAGCATACCAGCAGCCACTTTAAAGTACTAGCTTTTTCTAGGTCATTTTCAAGGAAGAGGAGAGTATCATCAGCATATTGAAGGCTGATGATACCTCCAGCAGTAACTTGGGGCAGAAGCCCAGACACTGACAACTAGCAGCTTTCATAAGCATCCTAGAGAAGACATCAGCTACCAGGTTAAAAAGGAGAGGGGAGAGGGGATCACCTTGCCTTAAACCTTTCCCTGGTTTAAAGTAGGTACTATTTTCATCATTCATCCTAATGCATAAAGATCCCCCCTGAACCACTTCCCTAATCCACTTATCTCCAAAACCTCTAGAAATGAGCATGTCCTCAAGGAAGCTCCAACTAACCCTATCATAAGCGTTTTCATAGTCCAACTTGAGGATAACCCCAGCTTCCTTATTTCTATTAACTTCATGAATTATCTCATGAGCAGCCACTACACTTTCCAAAATGTACCTGCCTTTTATAAAGGCAGTTTGGTTAGGAGCTATTAGCCTATCAGCCACCACCACTAGTCTGTTATTCAACAGTTTAGCAAAAAATTTAAAGCTACAATTGATTAAGCTGATAGGTCGAAATTTCTTAAGGGTTTTGGCATCTGGCTCTTTAGGAATTAAGGTGATTATTGCATAATTCAATCTGTCCAGATCTAGATTATTTTCCCAAAAAGAATTAACTAATCTCATCAAGTCACCCTTAATCACTTCCCAAAAAGTTTGGTAAAACAGGAAAGGAAAGCCATCTGGTCCAGGTGCACCATCTGCATATGAACCAAAGACAGCATTCTTCATTTCTTCTTCAGAGAAGGGAGCTTCTAGAAAATCTTTCTCAACAGAAGAGACTTTCTCAGATTCCTCCCAAAAGGAGTTACTTAAACTAACTCCTTGTGTCTCCTCCTTGCCAAATAAGGACTTGTAGAAGTCCACAGCATGGTTCCTGGGAAGAATGATATCAACTGAATTCCAAAGCTGATGGAACAAGCCACAAGTTTAGAGAAAGACATGGCCGTTGTAAGCAGGGGAAGTAAGGTTCTGTGTTGGTTGAAAAGGTGATGTAATTTTTTGTTTTGTTTTGTGATGTGCACATATTTGGCCCACCAGCATCTTAGCGACATCACCTTAGTAATTTTCTCAATATTTTTGAAGTGGTTAACAAGCTGCATTGCATTGGGATGTAAATTGTGAGAGAGTACACAACATGCAATATGTGTACAGCCAAATGACAACCTAATTAAGTACCTTGTGATTTGTCATATGTAAATGACCCGCTGTTTTTTCCTATTTATCTTATGTTAACTATACTTGACAATTTGTTCAGGTGCTTAACCTTTCTTTTTTTACATGCTTTTAATTTTATCGTTTCCACTACTGCCCATTTTTCATGTTACGTCGATAACTTGTTTGTTTTATATTCCTTTTCTTTTCCTCAAGTACTACTATGTAGGGACAGGCAGTCTGGCACAGAACCATTAGAGCACTTATGATTTGATTTTCGTGCTTGTAATTTACTGTCGCGACATGGAGACAATGAACAAACAGTTTCTAGTATGTCTTGACCTGTTGGGCATAACTTTCTACTTGTCAACCTAGCTTGCTTCAATTTCCATTGCCATGATATAGAGGCGACCAGTGTGATAAATTCATGTGTTTAGTAATAAAAAAAAGATCCTGGTCCTGTAATTTGCATAACACATCTATCATGTGAATGGTGAGTTTAATTAATTTCAACCTTGATATTTTGTTAATCTTGCTTGCAGGTTGCTAAATGAGCATGCTGGGAGTAGAAATTAGTAACTAATCTTGGTGTCTCAATATTCTCTTTAGATGGAGGAGTGCTCATTAAATATTTTATTGCTCCCAACTAGCCATCATGTAAATAGTATGGGTTGAATTGTACTGTGGTTACGAAATTACAAAATTGTTCCCCTGTTTCTCTTGCCATAAATTTTTAAATTATCTCTATTGTTTGAACTATCTGAAAACTAAACCATATTACTGTTAAACCTATTGGCAGACAAAACTGGTTCAATTGACATTTGTTTGGCTCACAGGTGCCCAGAGAAACAAACCATGTCAATTGACTCCGGGCACCTTCTGTGATCACCTGTTTCTCCAAATTGCCCTCCAAATCACTAGAAACCGGAACAATACAAAAAAAAGGACGATCAAGTTCTTAGAAGCAGCTTTTGTGATCACCTGTTTTTTTATCGTCCTGTTTCTAGTAATTTGAAGGGTAATAATTGGTTATTTTGGGGCATGCATTAGGCCTAAGAACCTGAATCGATATTGGATTGGCTAAATAAGCTGTTTCTTAATGCAGAGAGTTTTAAACCTTGGGGTTGGACGAAGCAAGAGTCTGCTGGGCCATTAGAAAAACTCAATAATATTTCTGTTTATAATATGAAGTTCTCGTCGGGTCTGTACAAGCCAGGTTTGAAGCAGAGTAATCTTGGAGGGAACTAGAGTCCACGTCAAGAGGCACGGGCCATCCGCCACAACAACGGCTGCAGATAATGGAAGGTGACATCAAGATCCGTGACATGCTAGAGGGTGATGAGAAAGCTACTGAAGGAAGTTCCAGAAAGAGATGTCTTTGCTGCTGTGTGTTTGTATCTGATGAAACTTGGTAGTTCTCAGATGGTTACTTTTGGTGGTGTCTGTTGTTGGTCGATGTGGTCTGTTAATAAACTTGTTAATTGGTTGGGCATGTTAGCCCTAGTTGCCAAAATCATGTTATTATTAGGTGTAGAATATAGACTTGTGTCGCTTGTCATTTTCGTTTTGGGGGTCTTATTCTGAACTTCTCGCAACTGTTTCTTGCATATTCTCATACCTGTTCCTTACAGAAAATAAGGAAAATAAACCTCGTGGTTACGGAGAAGAGGTTAAAAAAGAAAATAAAGTTGGGATGCTTCAAATCACCATCAATTTTACTATCTAATGGATGAATTTGGTAGATCAAAACCTTCCCCCTCTCTCAACCCCAAAAGGGAGAGAACAAGCCACATCATAGAGGAGAATCTCCTCACTCTCTCTCTCTCTCTCTCTCTCTCTCTCTCTCTCTCTCTCTCTGGGCTGTTTAGCTAGGCTCTTTCCGGCTTCGACTCCGTGCTATAGTAGTCGAGATGTCAGAGCTAGAGGAGCCCAAACTATTGGCTTTGGTTTCCTAGTTCATCTAGAGAATAGAAAGAAAAATAGTTCTGATAAACAACGTAGGAGATGGAGGAACAGTTGAGAGCCCTTCCAATGGGACCTTAACCCTAAAAGGGGAAGAATCAAGCCACTCCATAGGAGAGATGGTTGGCTCCCAGGTTTTACTGCTTTTCAAGCTATGCACCATGTATTAGCTATAATGGTACACAAATGGTGAAATTAGGAGCTGCAGCATCACAGCCCACCTATATCAAAAGATTAAAATGAAGCAAATGCCGCAATAACATGACTGATGAATTCAACAAGACCAAATTGTTTCTTGAAAATGACTCGTATATGACGAAATCTTAAAGTGGAACTGAAGCGTTCGATCCATGATCACTTCCGATAGGAAGAACACGAACTGAAAAGGTGAATTAATTAAACCAGCTACTCTCACCGAACTTTATTTCCACAGAAGAAACAGAGCAGAATCAGCACTGCGAGATGATCGATTTGCCTATATTCCATTTATTTGCTAGGCCATACGAAGATCACTGGTTCCCGACTGGTGCTGGCAATTTGCCGCTGGCTAGCTTCAGCTGAAAATAAAGGTACAAAAAATCATTAAGCTTATAACCATGTTATACATCTCTTTTTTGAAAGAGAGAACCATGCTATAGATCAGCAATCACACACTTGCATGACCAAACGAACTCAACAAAATAACTTACTCCAACGTCAGCTTTACAATATTTGTCCGGTCCACATACTTAGAGGCACAAAAAGCTAAGTAATTTTTTTGTGCCTCCTAAGTACGTGGACAAGACAAATATTGCAAACTATGGCGTACTTTTATCTTTAGCCAGCACCATCTCAGAGTCGCTAAATATAGGTAGGAATGATATAACTACATGCTATAAGTTATATGGTAATAATATATACTTGTAATTATATTATGCAGGGAAATATTAATTTTTCTTTGGCCTCAAGAGCAATGTGCAATAATGTTGCTCACTGCTTGTTAGGTGATGAACATTATTCTGTGTGGCTTCTTAGCAGCACTGACGCACTGTATCTGATCGACTATTACTTGCCTGACTAAAACTATGAACTCATTATGAACCAAACATATATAGAGAGAATATAGAACAGAGGCCATACCAGCAATGACTCAGTGTAGAAGCTCACGAAGGGATACATCCAGTCGTTGACTTCGCCCATCTCGCACAGCTTCCTCGCCTGCAATGACGACCCAAGCTCGATGGTGAAGACGCCATCTTCTGTGCTTAAAAAATGACATTGGCGTCTTGGGCAACGCCACTCAAACATGGCTGCCTCTTGAGGTTGCCAACCGGGAGCATCGTTTTGAGATCGATGACCCTGCGCTGCACCCATCGGCCATCGTCGTCTCCGACGGTGCTTTCTGTCTCCTCCCTTGCCAACAGGTAGAGCATGGTACCAGTCTTAGGACACAGGCAGGCCAATCCCAGCCCGCCGCCCTCCGCCGCCATGACAACGACGTTGGTGTTGGTGTTCCTGCCACTGCCGAGACACTTCTCCCTCGGCAGCTGCATCATCGACAGGACGTCGCGTTCGCTGATGCCTGCTGAGATGATGTCCCTGCTGCGCACACGGCGCAGGAGGCCGTACCGGTACCGCAGGATCCCCCGTCCGCAGAAGAAGTAGGGCCATGTTTAGATTGTAAATTTTTGCAATCTGGATACTGTAGCACGTTTCGTTTGTATTTGACAAACTTTGTCCGATTATGAATTAACTAGGCTCAAAAGATTCGTCTCGTGATTTACAACCAAACTATACAATTAGTTACTTTTTTTATCTACATTTAATGCTCTATGCATACGTCCAAAAATTGATGTGATGGAGAGAGAGTGAAAAAACTTGGAACTTTGATGTTATCTAACCAAGGCCTAGAGCGAGTCCCCGACCAGCGTGGCAGGGCGATTGTCTGGGTAGTACCGGCCGTGGTCGAGGTGGATGTTGATGTGCACGCTCCACTCGCCGGTGTCAGACGCGTAAAAACAAGCGTGTGCGTCGAAGTAATGGCTCTCCAGGATGTTCTCCACGCCGACGAAGGCGACGACGAAAGGGCCCCCACTGCAGCCGCGGTGGTCGTCGCAGCCTCCGCCCGCAGCGCAGACCACAGCTGGGCGTGTGAAGACATCCGGCACATCGGGGAGTTTGTGCCGCTCGCCGGTGACAGGGTCCCAAATAACGAAGGATTGGAGGGAGCCGTAGTCATAGAAGACGGCGCGGCCGTGGCGGCAGTCGAGCGCATGGCACCGGCGATGGTCGGCGTCGGACGGGCGGAAGGACGTGGTGGAGACGAGAGCACGGGGGCCGTCGGGTGCAACGCGCGGTAGTGGCCGGGGAAGGCGGGGTCGGTGATGATGCGGCGCCAGTCCTTGCAGATGGCGGAGGCCCGGACGAGCCCCGCAGGATCGTCCGGAGGAAGGCGGAGGAGGATGCCCGGGATGAGATGGCAGAGTCTGCGGAGGCGGCGCCATGCTACTCGCCATTGGCGTAACCACCTCCGGATATCCAAGGAGGAACAGCCCGGAGAATACGTATGAAATCTTCTATATATACCTCGGCGCTAAACCCTACCACAAATCTAGGAGAGCTGGCTAATGGAATCACTGCTTCCTTCTATATCCAGGTGAAGTTCATCATCTTCCATATATATCTACATCTATTTGATCCGTGTGAATTATTGATTGGAAAGTTCCAAACGCTGCATGCACGCTTCCCATTATTCTACGAATTTGCCGGCTACTCTCTCTGTCCTATATAATATATATAGTGCATTCTAAGAATTTTATAAGATAAATTAAGAGAAAACATAAAAGATGTATGTAACCTCATTTTATTTTCTAACTGGATGTTATCATCAACGTGATTAATGATGATTGGTTGATAAATAAAAAGTATTTAATACAAAATTGATTTTTATCCTTAGAATGCATTATATTTGAGGATAATTTTTAAATGCTAGAATATACTATATTACAGCATGGAGAGAGAGTAGCTTGAATTGTTTTGATACTTCCTTTAGTCTTGTCGTTGCAGCCTGGCATGTGGAATGGAACTTTTGCATTACTAATAATTAAAAAATAGAAACCATCTATTATATTTACATTTCTTCTTGCTTGAATTTTAAGATGATTTCAAGCAACACTCTTGTACCAACTAGTACAAGTAAATTTGTTATTTTTGTGATTTGTTATTTGTCTTTATGTCATTACATAATAAATTTTTGTCTTTATCTACTTATAGAAATAATTGTAAATTGTTAATTGCCATTGTGTTTGCCTCCCAAATTACCTAGGGATTTTTTAGAAATGGCTGGCACATTTACGTAGTTATAATCCAACAAATAACCATCTAAAAAACCAGAATTGTGCCTCTTAAGATGGCTAAAAGCATGTAGACCTACAATTCGGTTTTAACGATTAGTGATGACATACTCATTGTCACTTATGTGTGTTATCTAGCGGTATTATTTAGTGAGGTCACAATGATGATAATTGATTGGGAAATTATAGTGTCCATACATACCCCCATTGATGGAATTCGTTTTGGTTTTTAAAGATGTGCATGAAGGTTAAGGAGGACTAAGACACTTAGAGTAGTATAGGTCCTTATTTTATCTTTTGGTCGTACTATTAAGGGGTACGAACAGGTGGCTTGACCTATAGATTGAGTCTAGTGAGTGAATGTGATGCACACTTATCAAATCTAGCACTAGATAGCTTAGCTGAAGCCCAAAGATCAATTGGAAACCAAGTCATTTTTAAAGGTGTTTGTTTTCGAAGAAAATAGTATGGTGTTCGCTATAGCCGTTGCAGCCACGGCTTAATTACCTCCTACAAAGTACTATAGATTGAACTAAATTGTTGTTGCGGCTCTGACTTTAATCTCAAATGAACATGCCCTAGGTTGTTTATATAGCCACCAGAGCTCCCCGGTGGGGTCAACACCGTGGCCACCGGAGGTTAGGCTATGTGTTGGTTGATTGATAGTCAACTGTGCACAAAACCTTTACTTCTAGTGGTCAATGGAGTTGTACCACATGAGCTTAGGTACAGTGAGGTAACACAATGATCAGTGACCTTCTAGACTCACCGAATTTATCTGGTAGGGTCACCGGACAGTTCCACTGGAGCATCATAATAGAGAAGGTTGCAGAGGAAACTTAGAGCTCTCAGACTCACCGAAGATCTCTGGTGAGTCACCAAAGTTACAAGCATACAGTAACAGCTAGATGAAATATAGCCATTGGAGGGGCTTCTCTGGAGTTCTCTGGTGCTAATTCAAAGGGACCACCTGAGCTAGTGAGTACTTTTCGGCTAAGTGGAGTTCCAACAATAGTTTTTGGGTGTGGCCTATATATAACTCCTACACTCATGCTTTGACTCCCTTTTGGACATTTGAGGAGTTAGACACTTGTTGGGTTCCAAGAAAGAGTTTGGCCTATTCAAGTGATTTGGAAATCATAGTAAAAGATTAAGGACTCCATTAGTGCTTAGGATGTAGCATGCATCCACTCTTCTCGTTAAGCTTGGTTAGGTCAAGTAAGAGTTCGTACTTATTACTCTTGGTGATCAACACCACCTAGACAACTTGGTGGTGCTTGGTGATCTCTCAGTGGCGATTGTGAGAGACCCATGTTGGTGTACACGATTCGGTGATCCATTGTTTCGGGTTGTGGCAGAACCGCCCGAAATAACACACCTTCGGAGGCGCTTATCTTCCACTAGACACTAAGCACCTCGAAAGCAAGCTACATCGGACGGTTCCGCCGAGCACACCCCAAGGGAGAACTTGAACAATCCATGTTTTCCTCTAGGATCCAATAATGAGAACGAATTTACCATACTTAGTCCATTTCATACATCAAGAGTTCTCAGAAATACATTATTACAATACCAAGTTCAGAGTGCGGAATTTAAACAACGGAATTGAAAGAAACTTCTGTGCCCACCAGAAGAATCCTTCACACAACAGTCACTCCTCAAGCTGCACTTGCAATAGGGGTAAATAAACCCTTAGTACACAATGTACTCGCAAGACTTACCCGACTAGTGGAAATAATTTTTCAACTCCAAAGGATATGATAAGCTTTATGATTTGCTGGGTTTCCTTTTTGCAAAAAGCATTACTAGTAGTGAATCCTTATGTATGTTTTATTAGCAGTCATGATTAGTTCATTAGCTAACTATTCTATGTAAGCACATGTTCTACTTTCAAGCAAGAGTTGAGCAATCAGATCTATTTCACCATCTTTCATCTTCCAGTTCTTACTACGGTGCTAGATCGTAGACAAGTCGTACCGTATTACACGGTGATTCGCGAATCAATGTAGCCCAGCTGGATACCCCGAAACATATGCCCCGCTTGTACCCTAGGCACAAGCAAGACCAACCCACCACTCTCCTATCAAGAGGTCCATGTCCCCATCCAAACTTGGACTCTAAGCCCCCACACCTGAGTCCTGGACTCAGTGTGGTGCTTAGACCTCCACCATCCCTGCCTCCAATCAGTCGGTCCAGAAAGAGCAAAAACCCACGACAAAAGAGCAACGAGCCTTCCCGCTCCCACAAGCAAGTATGTGCTCAGGATAATAAGTCTATGACCTGACTAAAATCCAATGCAACGACCAGTCCTTAACCGACACGGACAGGGAAAACAGTGTAACCAAGCTATGCCCCGTTGTCCACGGTACACAACCTGTTACACCCACCAATACACGTATCATATCTCTACCCGGTCTCCATTTGTATTCACCATTTTATCATGAGTAATATTAATAATCACCTATTGCGAGTAACGGCACGTTACTCACGCTACCGAAAAACCTAAGCATAGCAGCTACGCACACCTGTACTAGTATGACTCATAGGACATATATATTTATGCAGGTGGTTTCCATAAAATTTCTGTAACATAAATGCACATCACACACACACACACATATATATATATATATATATTCAGTGATTATTCAAAATAAAGGTTATGCACCGGGACTTACCTTGGGTAGGCGGGGTGTCAGCTCAGATAGTCAATGGTGGCTCTAGGACCTCCTCCTACAAAAGAATCTCCTCTTCATACTCCTCGATCACCTCCTCGAACTCGTGATCTCCGATGGTCACGATCTCCGTCAACTCGTTCTCTACATGCATGCGATGATGATGCAACACTTAGTATTTTGGCAATAACAACTCTTAAAATAAAAATACACATGTTAAGCTACTAAGCTAACTCTAATGACTAAAATACTAAGCTAATCATTATCTCTATCAAATAGATCCCAAGCTCACTCTGCAAGTGCTAAATTTTTATAAACCAATATCATGCTATTATCCATTTAGCCTTAATGGGTATTTAGCTACCATATTAAATAGTCTATTTAGGTCTAATAAAATTATAGTGAGCACATAGTAATACCATGAAGCTACTATAAAATTTTCAAAGCTAAAACTATCACCATTTTGCCACAAAAATTTCTACAATATTTAACCTAATAATATTAAACACTCTCAATTGATTTAATAGCTCCTTGTATTAACAAGTACTAACAGATAGAGCACAATTTTAGGAATTTAACAAAAAAATTTCACAATTTTTGAACATCTACATTATTTTATATTAATTATCAAAGTTCAGCTAAGAATTGAAATGAAAAGCTATTTCTATTTTCCACGAAAAAACTAAACTGATTTCGGCCCAACGCGGCCCACACGCGACGCAGCGCACGCGCGAGCATGCGGTGGCCCACAGGCGTGGCCCACGTGAGGCCGGCCTGCAGCGCGAGGCGGCCCGCGGTGGGGGAATCCCGCGCGCGCTGACATATTAGCAAAAATGCCCCTGGACTTCGAGCAAAACAACCCGTAGTCCACATTACTATTTCTATAGACAACGACTTTGCAACGAAACCCTCGGACCTTTCTCCTCTTTACAACGGCAAGGCCTCCGGCCTTCCCCGTGTGCTCCGGCGCGACGAGCGGTGGCACTGGCACTTGCGCCGGCCAGACGGGACCCACGCTGACCTATCTACGAGGCCGACGCTCACCTAGGGTTCGACGTGAGACGATGGGCGGCGGTTGCACGAGCCGGGACACCGTAGAAGGACCTCTCCATGACGGTGGGCACCCTGCGACAATGCCAACGACGTTCTGGTGAGTCGTGGCAACAACAAGGCGGTAGGGGTAGCGGGTGAGCAACGACAACTCACTAGTGACCTTACCGAGAAATCGGCTTGGCCGGAGATGACCCGAGCGAGGCTGGCCATGTGCGCGCTGCGAGGTGAACGGCGGACCGCAAAGGAACGGCCACGGCAGTGGCGAGGAGGCGGCACTAGAGCTACGACTAGCGTGTGCACGACGAAGAGGGAGCCAAGGCAAGCTAGTGGTGTAGAGGAATTAGTGCGGGGTGAAGTGGTGGAGGCTGGCCACGGAGAGGGCGGTGACGGGCCTTAACGGCACGGCGGCGGGCAAAGCTCCAAAATTGGAGCTCA